AGGATTGGTAAATAATACTCGTAATGATTGCAAAATAACACTCATAGAAACACAAAATAAATATTTTTTGCAATTAATAAGAAGTCGAATAAATATTTGTGGATTTGCGACTTCACAGTACGAAAGTACACAACGCTATGAAGATCAAAGATGGCTGCGCTTCCTTTATACTTGCTGGCAGCACCTAGCGGCTAAAGATAGAACTAAATTGACTGTCTATGGTTGGACATAGACAAGGAATTTAAGCTAAGTACACACTGCTTCTTCATAATACAATGCTGTATGTTTTCCAAAGGCACATCAATATCTTGTTTTAAGGCGGCGGAAACAGCACAATACGCATTACCGATATCTATTTTTCTGAGGGATTTTTAGTCTGAACTGCGTTCTTTTTTCTTTGGTGCTAGAATTCGAAAAAAATTAAGTTCTTATATACCTCAGATTTCTCAGTAACCGCATTTTCCCTAAAATACAATCAACAGGAATTCCGTTACAGCTACATTCAGTCGAAGCACGCCCGCCGTAATGTATGCCATGAACTTTACCAATGAAAATAAAAATCTGCGCTCAAGTACTAAGCACCGCCAATAACGTCTTCGCTCAGAAGAAAAAACACGTTTTATTCGACGACACAACCAAGTTTCGGATCATAAAAGTATATATTTCCTTTCCGGGGAAGATTGCGTTCAATTCCACAACGATAAGAACGCCCGTACGAGTAATGATGTTGACACTTATGTACATAACAGAGATGTGGGCGCATTTAATATTTCAATAAAACGCGGCCCTTCAAGGAAATTATGCGAGTTTTTCATTTGTTCTTTTTTCCACGACAAGCAAACAGCTTCAGGCCATCCTTTCCATAAATAAAGACCTCCATTGGTAACTATATATATGTCCATAAGCGGTAGCTTGGCCTAAGGTGAGTCGAATGCTTCTCTGCTTTTGTCAAATAATGCGTGCTGTGAGTAGGAACACGATTTTAACGCAATTGATATTTTAATTTCTTTCATAAGAGGATTTTTAAGTTATACGGTCTATCAGGGCAGCTTCCTTAGGCAACTTCAGACCATGACGGCCTAATCTGCCTAATCTGATAGATCGTGTCGGTCGTCACACGTACTCTACACTCAGCCGACTAAATAATTAGATTGCGGCAATTTCATTTGAATTTAATTGTACTAAAACAACGTTAAAGCTCTTTACTTATTACAGTCCGTTGCTTTCAATTAACTAATGAATGTTTTTGGCTCAGATAAGAGCAGGTAGACCAGACAAAATGCCAGTTAAAGTAAAATAAAAACTGTAAATGTTGAGATTACATTCCGCCGATCAGACATCGGTGCCCCGCGCTACGCTCGGATAATGACATTCTAACGATGCCTAAACTCGGGGCGTTTATTCAAATCAGTGCTGACGGGTGTCGACCGTTGTCGCCGATGACGTTTTAATGACTTGGAACATCAACAGAAGTTTACGAGACGAATCTGATGTTTTGTTAGCTTTAGACTCCTAAGGTAACGCGTTTGATTCTGTTAATAAAAAATCCGTATTCATTAATTAACACTATCAATGTAATGACGACTAGTGTAGTTATGCCAATCCCTTCTGTCGGTGAAGGCAAATAAATAATAATTTCTAAGACAACATCATTAGTGACAGTTATATACTAAATAATACATACTGACCTATCACTTAGTAACATACTAACGTTGTCACAAATTAAATATAAACAATATTGCAGAATACTGATGTTGAATTAACAAGAACGAATTACATGAAAACAATTTGACGTCTCACATTACACATTCACAAAATTTACATCAAAGAAACGACACCCAAGCCTCGCGATGAAAAAGAAATCCCTCCGGACTTCCTAATTAACGTTAAATTGCGCAATTCCCCTCCGCAACAATAGGCTGTTAAATAAATATAGATAGAATTCTCGGAATTGTAAGAATCGTGGCCAAACACAAAACGATTTGTTCGTAACACAAAAAGAATTCTGATGTTGCTGTCGAAGAATTGAAAGTCACTCAGCCCTACCGAAACATTCCCATGTAATTGCCTTGTCACTTAAATAACTATGATGATAAGCCCGTGCCGGATCACGATATGCCTCCCACGAAGTTAATGCTCATTTATCAACTCCATTCTAGTAACGAGCTGCAAGCAGATAATCTCAAGGTCAATTGTAACCACTGAGATTTCAATCCTCCCAACGAATTAGGATCCCCACTAATATTTGTGAGATGTCACTAAATAAATTCCACTTTATTCCAAACTCATTCTAAAACTAACGCATCTCAAAGTTTTAACAACTTTTCTACAGGCATACTTTCACACAAAACGTACTTTCTCCCAACCACCACATTGCAGTATTTCAGGTATCTGATTTTTTTCAACTCTAGCAAAGAATATTACCAGCGATCATTTACCATCCATTTCCCAACAGGCATTGTAGGCAGCGGCTTAGCTCTGCCCCTGGCATTGCTGATGTCCATGAGCGACGGTAACCACCTACCATCAGGTGGGCTGTATGCTCGTCTGCCTACAAAAGCAATTAAAAAAAACTTAAGAAGCGTAATCCAAAGTGGCATACATACTTTCGGGTCGTTAGTTTGTATGATAACTATGAGCTACGGATTTGATTCTCGATCGACATAGGTATCCTTATGAAAGATATTTAATTCGTTTTAAATAAATGTGGTATCGTATATATTTTTGCTACCCAAAATTCTAACTTGGGCCATTGAACGTGGAACACTTTTGTTATGCATTATACATATTTTCATATTAGAATCATTCTCTTCGCAATCACCTCATCCCAATAGATGACAAACCATTACCAAATAAGGAAAATCAATCCATTCCAATCTCATTCTGAAACCCAAACTTCCTTCAACTTGACCAAACCAATCCATCCCAGCCATCCTATCCCATAGCTCTGTCACTTACCATCCCAGTTGAAACATACCTGTTGTACATGAGAACGTCTGGTTTCCAAAGTTTGTTCGGTGTTATCCTTAAGTCCTTGACGCCTCCGTACTCGCTCTCGTTCCACCTTAGGTTGTAGTCATTCCATTCCTGTCACATTCAGTGTGATTATCACATAGGAAAAACATGGGATGGGATAGAAAGTGAATGAAATTCACTTCTCTTTGATTTCTCTTCCAGCAGCACAGAAAAAACTTAAATCCACAATTATTTGTGCATACCTTTTATATTTTGGCTGTCATTTCAACATATTGCAACTTGTAAATAAAATTACAACGATTGTGTATTTTCAACAATAATTTTCTCAAAACAGGTACTTCTTACACAGTATATTTGTAATAAATCAAAGAGAATTGAATTGTAATATGTGATATTTGGTAATAAAACAGTGCTCGTGTTTCATATTAAAGGTAATATAACACCCAATCGTAAGCAGCTACATCGTTTATACTATAATTGTAAAATTTGTGTGCTTAGATACAACTATATTCCACGGGTATGCCTTTTGTAAAATATTAATATACCTACTTTTTCTATCAACAACTTCTGGAAATAATTGTAAATAGACATGCTTTAACAAAAACCGACTTCAAATAAAAAAAAGATATTCCAAAACAAATTATACAGTAAAAACAATAATCATCGAAATCGGTTGGCGTGATATTGAGTTATTCATCTATTTGTCGCGCACGTACTTAATGCAAATTTAAGACTTATATGGTTTTCTCAAGGATACCATTATCAGAACTGCACTAAATTGAAATGGGACCACACGGAAAGTATCAGCTTTCTAATAAAAAAAGAATCATCAGAATCGATTCACCCAGTCAAAAGTTATGAGGTAACAAACATAAATAAAAAACATACAATCGAATTGAGAGCCTCCTCCTTTTTTGAGGTCGGTTGAAAAAGAATATTGTTTTCTCAAGTGTATTAAAAATCCTTGGAATGCTTACAAATAGGGCTTATTGAACTATGACATTTAGTTTGAGATGTTCGTTTCGCCCTAATTATGCGAGACTTAGAGAAATTCTGTAATTGAATATTAGGTATTTGTTGTACAAAAGGCATCCCATTACGTCGTAAATAAATTAGAAATTATGACACAATCGTTTCTTGTAAGATCAGCTGTTCAATCAGGTGATTAACACTAAGCTTGTACTGAAAAAAGAGATGTGCCACCATATTGAAAGTTGATCTACATAAATATCACAATGAAAATAAACATTATTTAATTTCAATACTCGCGGAAAAATGACATTTTGGCCTTTGACATTATTCCATTGAAACTAATGAAAAAAATCCCCTCGTAGCCATTAATTGAAATCGTTCAACTAACAAAATAATTCCAAATTCAAAATACCATAATTCAATTCAATATTTTCATGATTCACTATTCAAAATCACAATAAGATAGTCATTACTATTAAAATATTAAAGTATGATTGTCTCTTTCTCTCATTAGTACAAACTCCACGCGTGAAAGAGACTATTAATGTGCATTGCGACTAGATATGAGTATGATTCATTTGTAGTGAGTACCTACTGTACAACTTTCAATATGGTTACTAGAAACACAGGGCGAATACAATAACGTTCATGTACGCAGCTTGCACGATAACCGAGGTTTGTACGAGAAGGGTTGCCAGAGCCGAAAATGTAGCTTAATCAATTTTTATGCTGGCAAGGCCTCGAAACGGTATACTAAGAATTATAATTGATATTTGTGTCCAGTACTTTGCGAGTATAAGATTGGAATAGGCGGATTTTACATGTTAAATTAGTCGTGGAGCTATGCCACTTCCAACAGGTCGCCAACCGTGAGCACTCGTTGACAGCGTTCACTTAGGACTCACTCATGACACGAACGGGTCACAAACACACCTGTGAAGTAGTTTGTGTTTCAAAGCATTATGAGAAATTCATATTTTGCCAATTATTTATTACTCATAAATATTATTTTCATTACAAAAGGAAAAAAATACTCTTACATAATCTAAATTGTGTTATAAAAGAGCATGTTGCCAGCCCAGACGATAACATATAATAACATATTTATTGTTTCGAAACAATCTTATTTGCCACTTTGAAGTTATTCCTAATAAATTGAGACTTCATAACCTACCGAGCCAAATTTAAAAACAAACTTATATACCATTTGCAAGTGTCGTTTCAAAATCTCACAATTGACTTGAATGTTTTTTAGTCTGGCAACCCTGAACTTCACGAAGCGCGAACTTAGTACCCCTATCCCGGTAATATTGCGAAAGTTAAACGTACAACTTTGCTATTATGAACGTTACACTGTCTTCGCTACAAATACGATGTTAGAACGGTCCATCCTTTTATTGAATTCTATTGAAACTTAAAGCGTGGTTGCAATTTACGTATGTGATGACAGCGCACAAAACTTAACCGAAGTAATCGGTAAAAACATGGCCTCTATACCTATGCTACAGACCTAATTTTTTTTTTTTTTATGTTCATGAAAAAACATGTAAAATATTCCTTTTTAGCTATCTTACTATCCAGCAAAGATTACATTATTATTAATATAAAAAAATATTTTTTAATTAATGAATATTTCAAAACAATTATGTGAATTCACGCCAAAGGTATTAAAAACATAGATGCGCCTTTATTATTTTTGTTTAACATGACAATCGGCTTTTATTGGTTCAAAAATTGCTAGTAACATGGCTTCCTTTATTAAAAAAATATCTTCGCATCTCGCGGCAAATATTTCGGAGAAAAAACAATTATTTTATTGAATGTAAAATTTTAGACATGATTGATGAAATTTTGCTACTTGAATGATCGCAAAATGTGGACTTCCAAAAAAAATTGAATTAGAAACTCTACATTAAAAATATGTAATAATTCAGCCTTGTTTGTTTACAATACAAAGATTACTTCAATGTTGTTTATTTTTAAAAGGCTTCAATTTCAAGAGAAATCAACAAATATTGAAATACTTCAGCTTAAGCGCTAGGTACTTCACTAAAAAATGTTACTCTACTTACAATAAACTAGACATCTTAGGTATTTTGTAACTGATTTTAAAGGTATGTTACCGCGATATAAAATGTTCATGACATTCGTATCGAAATTTGAAGCTAACTGATAAATACATATGTATTTTACTATACCCAGTTTATTGTACACAGCATAAATAGTTTTACATTGAAACTACACAACGACAAACAAACACAACTGCATTACGACACATACGAACATGCACACGTATCATGCTTAAATAAACATGCCAACTGTTACCATTTCTTATGCCATTATGCACAATACATAACCACCTATACATAACATCTAGTTTCTAGAATTTTCTTGCAGGGAATTGTCAAACATGTATTTAAATTTCCGTATCTCTTTTGAAGGTTCTCGGGGGAACTACTTTTTGGGTAAGATAAAGCTGCCATATTGGTAAATGCTAAAAGAATTAACTGTTTAAATAAACTTAGATAACATACTTTCAGTTCTTTTTGTTGTTTTTTGTTTTATTGAATTTTTATAAGTATGTACACTAAGCTTTCTTATTTATTAAGTTTTCTTTTTTAATATAATTGAAATAAAAAAACAAAAATGTCAAATAAAATACTAAAAACAAATACGAAAAACTACTTCGGTTTTAAAATATACAATTTACTAAATAAAACTAAATAGAACGGGACTATTTACGTGTTTATAACAAAAAAAAAAAAAAAAACAGGGCTGTGCTTCGTGTGGACCGCACAAAAAATGTAAACGAGATAATATTATATTAAAAATAGAAAAATTTATACGTTCAATATTTAAAAAAAGAATCATTAAAGTTTTCACATTATATATTTTATTAGTTTGCAGGCAATCTAGCATAAAGTTTTCTGTGAAATTTAACTCATCAAAATTTTCGTAATCAAATAATTTACCATCGCATTCCAGGGCCATGCAGAGAATGAAAACACCTATATTCTCGGACACAGCATAAACAAAACCATAACAGCGTCGGGTGGTGCACAATCATCTTATTATATACAGTGTACAAGTATATACCAATCATATACAGTGCGTTACAACCGATAACAATTTCGATCAACATTTAACTCTCTCGTGCGTGAAATCTTTAATCAAATATTTACAAATGCATTTGCACTTTATGCTGTGTAATTGGCATTAATTTATTCTTATCATTTTATTAATTGTTATACGTCATTCGTTAGAACACATTGTTAGCATACGCATCGCGAACTAAGCGACAGTTATTTGCTATGGTGTTTGTGAACAAACAGACAGTTATCTACTCGACTGTACATGCGTTCATGTGGAGATTTCAATGAAGATGACTTTGAAGCGTTTTCTTTTAACGGATCTAACTGCCGACCAGACTACAAATCTAGCATCTCTTAAGGCACCCAACACCGATGCAAACACTGCCGCATATTTCCCAACGCTATGCGTTTATTACAAAAATTACAGATAAGAAGATAGAAACTAAAACAAAAGAGACAAAAGAGTTCGAAAACAGAATGTAACGTCAAAAACAGAACAAATAAGAAAGTAGAGAAACAGAGTCGAAACATAAAGGAAGGAACTTTTAGTGTTATTTTAGTTTCGCTGTTTAGTCACACTTACCAATGACAGCCATATATTGGTTATAAGTAGTTGATTCTTCTCGTCCTACCGGGTTAGACGATGTCAACAAAAACAGAAAGGGCGCAGTCAGTATGATGATCTAAACCACAGAGGGGTGAGCGAGGGGCGAGGTCCCCGCGCGGGCGGCTCGCCCCTCGCCGACACAGACTATCATCGTACAACAACGCAACACCGAGACTCCATGCGACAGCTCTGCCGCGGAGGCACCCTCGACCCGCCCGCCTCCTGAAACCCGTGCTTTCAAATTCGATAATTTCATAGGTGCGATCAAAAAATAGTGCTCACAATGCCGACAGTTACCGTGTCGATTGCGGGGGGCGGGACGGCGAAGGGCCCGGCCCAGCTCCTACAACTTACCAAGTTTAGCCAGACGTTCGTGGTCAGGATTTGATTTTTCTCATCCTTATTTTGTTAAACGAACGCGCGGCGACGCAAGAAAGGAAGGACGAAAAAATATTTATAAAATCAACAATGAATTGCGAGGACTAGACACACGCTTGTATGCTGCTGCATTAGCTCGGAGGCGCAGACACGATTTAATCCATCCGCGATATCTTTAGTCTCGGATAATCCTCTTTGTGACAGAGTATCGTACGGTCGAAGCAGTTAAACAGTTATTACAGCCAACGAACGACAGAGTTTGCTTGATGAATCCCTACTCGGAACAATTAATTTTAGCCCGATAAGATTGAGCGGTGTGAAAACAAACACAATATAAGCTGCCTCGATTTACAAATAATAAAGAAACAAAATAAATCAACGAAACATTTTGTAAGCGCTTAGATCGATATACAATTACGGTTGCAGACATCGTCTCCGATGCCTCTTAATCCTATTACCTTTTTACGAGCCGGGTCGTATTCTATTGTGGAGTTAATGGAAAAAGCAAATACGTTTTGCGCCTTCTGACTTACTTTAATTATTCTACCTTCTTGTTATCCGGACCGAGCGATAATTAAAGACACATTTATACGAGGCGTTTTCAAGATTTTATACGCGTTTGTAAAATAAATATTACGATAAATCTTTGAAATTTTGTCATATTCTTATTTTTCAATTTTAATTGTGTTAACCTATGTTATAATAATGTAATGACAAAATTTGTATACATTCCCTGTTGGACAATATTTATTGCTATATTGAAAATCATTTTCAAATTTCAAATTTTTGGTAGGCAGTGGCTTGGCTCTAACCCTGGCATTGCTGAAGTTCATGGGCGACGGTAACCACTCACCATCAGGTGGGCCATATGCTCGTCTGCCTACAGGGCAATAAAAAAAAACACAAGGTTGGCTGGAACCGGTCTGATCGATAAGCCTCTTCTCTGCTGTTGTCTTAACTTTTTATTTATTGTATCGACATTTTTGAACAAGCTCACGGGCCAGCTGAGCACCCTTTTTTCTTTTTATTGCCTTAATAGACAGACGCCGAGCATAAGGCCCATCTGATGGTAAGTAAATATTGTCGCCCGTGGACGTCAGCAATGCAAAGGGCTGTCTACCACTGAGTACTCTCCGCATGGCTCGTTTCAAGAAGGACATGTCATAGCGCTCGGAAAACATCGTGGAGCGAGGGCATTCCAAAGCCTTGCTTGGTATGTGGCAAGAAATATCTTTGGAAAAGCAGTGTGGGTCAACGCACAGTGGCTCAATGGTAAAAACGAGATGATGGGATTCATTTCAAACAACTCCTTAGAGCATGGAAGACCCAGAGTTTCCAAATTATCTGTGAGAGCGAGTAACTCTAAACACACCCCCAAAATTAATTTAATTACTTTAATTTTTCTAATTCGCGTGATACTTCGCGGAATTTAATTTCTTGGTATCTAGTTTCTGATAGATGTATAATCTACCCATAAAATATTATGTATGTATATACCAGACCGTGGTATATTATAATATTTAAAAAAAATATCTGATTCAACAACCTTTACTCAATGTATAATAACCACTCTTTGAAAAGAGTAAATAAAATGAAGCTCTCAAGAATGAATTAGCGAAAGTTAGCGAAGACTCGAATGGACATTTCCATTCGAATTGTGCTCCATCTTGTACGTCTGAGTGACTTCAAACTTACTCAAGTTGCGTCTAAAGTGCAGGCAAAAGATCGAAACATTTTTATAATAATTTAAAACATTTTATGGCGACTGAATATATTTTTACAATATACGTAACTATTCGAATCGATCAACTATTGCGACCACATCAAACGCAGAGGCACGGCTGAGCTGATAGACCATCTTGAGTTTAGAATAAGCCGGATCCCATACACGCCAAAACGTGATTGCAGCTGAGATATTTTAAATAGAAAATTATGCAACTTATGAAAACTGAACATGATTTTATCGGCATAAATAGTCAAGAAGTTAGATGGGAATGTATTAGTAGTCATTCGGAGATAGAGGTCGCATACCAGAGTCACTAACAAATGGGATATACGACTAACATTTTCTTACAACTCTAGATCGGAAAGCAAAGATAGCCTAGTCTAATACATTTATAATTGTTCTATGCCTGTGCCAACAATGGCAATAGAAAAATGTACGTGAACGTCCTCATAAACGACCTCATATCTTAGGCCAAACTGCATAATCGTTACGAACCACTGACACTCAATCTTGTAGATCAGCGCTCTTGTTTACAATGCTGTCAAATTTGAACGTTTGGAGAGCTCGGACGCTAAACGGGATATAGTCAAGACTCGACCCTCCTTTGTGTGCTTCAACTTCACTGGGACAAAGTTTGGTTTCAAAGCCGCATCCAAGCCGTCCACGATCTGAATATTAGGGAATAACAAAAGTTCTGCTGGGGGACGTGACTTAAAGGACATCATTGTTATTGTTTTAGCTAACGAGGACATACATGCATACATTTTTGAAAGAAAACTATTGTAGGTCTAAATCTAGATTTATATTGTTACGCCGGTAAGAGTAACGTCATCTATCGCTGAATGGTCGAATAATTATCGAAGGATCTAGTAGCATTTAGAACGCTTGAGAAGTACAACGCCATCTATTGTCAGATAGCGGAAACACAGTACTCAGCATTTGTGGAAAATTCTCGATAATTTTAGAGATGTGGTATCGGCTATAAAAGCGTTGCAGAGATGGCACGCAGTCAGTCAGTAATCGGAACTACTCGAAGCGAAACAGCGAACGGATCACCTGAGGCGAAGCGGTAGAAGTGAATTAAGAATTTTAAAGTGTTTATCAAGTGTTTTAAGTGCTAATACAGTTATTAAGTTGTATGTTGATGGAACATTTATTTATCCCGAACCTCAGCGCGTAGCAAAATCACCATTTTAACTGTTTCTGGAATTTATTATTATATGCTTAAGTATTTCTTTTTCGGTCGCCGAAGAGAGATGTGTAATAATTCTACCTGAGTCATCGGCCGAGTGAGCGGTTCAACGACGAATAGAGTAAGAAAACAGCCACCGAGTTCCTGTGTAAGTCGTCATCTTCTTGAACACGTGCAAAAGCAACTTTGAAACATAATTGACTTGACACGTGCCCGGTATTCATTGAACCGCCGTGAAATTTCAAACGGATTTTCCGAACTTACTTGGAAACGTTTGAATTAACTCGTATTTTATCAGTCTCGATTCTGCTAACGGCACTTTTGTCCGCGTCGCCCGGAACGCGATTTTTCACGGACATTTCAATTTCCGCGACTGCGGCCCTGGATCGCTCTACCGATTTTTTTCCTCTCTCAACGTTTTAGCGGTCCCGAAGTCATTCTTTAACCGTCCTCACAGTGATTTGTTGTTTGGGCTCGAATTGTTTTGTGTTTTTTGAGATAGATGCATTGTTTACAATTTTTTATAGTTATCTTTGTGAACGATTATTTTAATATGGACGTTCATAACGATATAACGATACTGATGATATTGTATGTACTGATTTTAAAAAAAATTGTAATTTTTTATGTTGGATATAAATTTAATTTTGGATAAGAGAAAGCCCTAAATTTTTATTTATTTTTTTACATAGAAGGGCCTATGAGCTCACGGTGTGATGAAAACTGACATGTATTTATTGAAGAGTAGTATCGTATGTTCGTTTGAACGTCCGGATTTTATTTTTAATACAAAGTTTTTTGTCTCCAAACCTGACGTTGCGAAATATAGCTACCGGTAAAAAAAAAATATTATATTTAAATAAAATACGTTTTGTTTATGATTATTTATGCTGATGTACTGATTATTTACGCACAAGCATGTCAAGGGTGCACACTTAAATTTACTCGCATTCCGTAGATTGCTCGCCGAACAAAATTGTCCATTCTCAAAGAGCTTCCCACAATAACTAGCCTGTCTACTCTATGCTATCAGCGTATACTTAACTGCTTTGGATAAATTGCTCGCAGGAACCTAACAATGTCGAAAAGCTGATAGTAATAGACCATGTAAATGGAAAAGGACCACATTCTCGATCACTTACCCGTTGGTCAAAACTGATAGTATCACTCACCGACGTGTCTAGATCTGCAACACTGACTGCCGAGGCAAGTAGAGAAGAATGTAACATGTGGTCAGAGAACAGACTTCAAACTAGACACAACCTTCAGCAATGAAGATACCGACTCGAAAGTTTTTTTTAATTTATTGCTTAGATGTGTGGACGAGCTCACAGCCCACCTGGTGTTAAGCGGTTACTGAAGCCCATAGACATCTACAACGTAAATGCGCCACCCACCTTGAGATATAAGTTCTAAGGTTTCAAGTATAGTTACAACGGCTGCCCCACCCTTCAAGTATAGTTACAACGGCTGCCGTACCCTTCAAACCGAAACGCATTACTGCTTCACAGCAGAAATAGGTAGGGTGGTGGTACCTACCCGCGCGGACTCACAAATTTTCCTACCACCAGTAAAACATAAAACGTTTGCTAATTACTTCATTAAATACGTTTGTTTTGTCTTTCGCGGTCAATAGTCTTTCTACTCTATTGTATTCTAAAAATTTTAACCGAGAGGACTGTTCCAAAACTTAACAGCATCCCGCACCATTAAACATGCCACATCCGAAACCGTATGCAGTCAATGTTTGAGTAACGTCAGTCGTAAAGAGACCTCAAGCTCGTAAACCGAGACGCGTGCTGCCGAATCGTAAAACTTGCGCCACTTAACACCGCAGCCACTGGTTATTGAGTTATTTGCATGTAAATTAAATCAAAATACCACCGGCCAGTTCATGAATCATGGAGCCAAAATGCATATCACTCTATACCGGACATAAAAATCAGACTGGTGATAGGACCTCTTGTACTGGTGGTAGGACCTCTTGAACTAGTGGTAGGACCTTTTGTGAGTCCGCACGGGTAGGTACCACCACCCTACCTGTTTCTGCCGTGAAGCAGTAACGCGTTTCGGTTTGAAGGGTGAGGCAGCCGCTGTAACTAT